AAAGAAACTGTATTAAATATTTAAAGTGCAGGTGTCTGAATTACTAAACCCTGATTTGGAAATAGAACGATGTAACACAAACTTATTTTATAAAATACAATATTATTTTGTTCTATCTCCATTTTCTGTTAAAAAATATTATACAAACTAGTAACTTTTATATATATTGTGGAAGATAAATGTATATTTTGGCAATTAAAGTACTGTAAGGTACATATCTGTTTTATTAGGAAAAAAATCTTATTTTACACTATTGAACAAATAATAAATACACGCTATTTTGTCTAAAATTCAATTCAATAGAGAAGAGATCAGTAATATATTAACTAAAGTATGTACCAAGATCTTCACAATGAAATAAAACTTTAGTTAAAAGTTCTAAAAGCATAACATCTAAAATACATTGCACATTAAAAATATATCTTAGAGAATAATTAGTTAACCAGCACCTCTGGTAAGGCCATTAAAACTATTACATTTCAGTAAGAACCCATTTAATAACATAACATATAAAACATATATATTTTGACAATACAATAAATTATTTTAAAATACTCTTATAAAGTGCAATATTTACAGCAACTATATACTTGAACAAGTTTTGAAGGACATTGGCTTTATCATTTGAAATTTGAACACTCTTATTCAAGGCAGAAAACATTAGTACCTCTGCCATGACTAATATCGTAGATTGTTAACTCGTGGTTTTGAAGAAATATTATAACTCTTTTTAAACATTATACTCTTTTTAATTTACATTAACGATCTTCCAGATATTCTCACATCTAAGGTCGCATTGTTGATACTACCATTTATTCTTGTCACAATAAGAATCTAACTCCCTCTGATTGCTTGCAGGGGGCATCTGAGCTTGAAAAGGATCTCACTTCTGCTACAGCATGGGGCTCACAGTGGCTAGTGAACTTTAATTCAGATAAAACCTAATTTTTTTTGGCCAATCGTTATCGCAATAATTTAGACCTTCCTATATTTATGAACGGTAATGTACTCGATGGGTCTCCTACCCTTCATCTTCTAGGATTAACTCTTAATTCTAATCTTTCTTGGAAACCTTATATCAAATCCGTTGCAAAATTAGCATCTGCTAAAGTTGCTTCTCTTTATCGAGCTCGTCACTTTCTTACTCTGGATTCTAATCTCTATCTCTATAAATCTCAAATCCGGCCTTGTTCGGAATACTGTTGCCATATCTAGGGCGAATCTTCTAATGATGCTCTTTCTCTTTTAGACAAGGTGAAAAAACGCATTGTAAACATAGTTTGACCTGCTCTTGTAGCCAACCTTCAACCTCTGTCACATCGTCGTAATGTTGCTTCTCTTTCTCTTTTCTACAAATACTATAATGGGCACTGCTCGAAAGAGCTAGCGTCTCTTGTGCCATCTACTAAAATTAATTCTCGTGTTACTCGTCATTCAATTAAGTCTCATCCTTTTTCTGTTACTGTTCCTAAGTGCTCCAAAAACTCTTATTCGTCTAGTTTTTTGTCTTCGAGCATCAGTTCCTTGGAATTCGCTTCCTTTATCTTGCTTACCTTATTCATATAATTTGCAATCTTTTAAGTCGTCTGTCAATCGTTATCTTGCTCTACAATTTTCATCTTTTCTCTTCCAGTAACTTCCAACACTAATTAGTGGTTGCTTGCAGCCTTGTTGGAAGCAAAGATAATTAAAAAAAAAATTAATAAAAAAAAATAACATGATTTTCTGTAGTATACATGATCTGAATGCTAGATGCTTTATCTAGATATAGGGAACAAGCTTAAAATTAAAAAAACCTGCAATAGCTAAAAAGTGTTTGAAATTCAATTTCTTCATTTGGTTGACAGAAAATTTTTTTTATTTGAAGAGCAGAAATTGCTCTGATTAAACCAAGGGGACTAAATATTTCAACAGGAGCGAGTGCTCCATCAAATTGGCTGTGAATATTATCAACCTCTTGTATACTAAAATTTTTTCACAATCTGTATCCAAGTTTTAGGTGGTGACTTTCGCTTCCTAGTTTTTCCTCAACGTAGAAGCAGGCGACGAGCTGGTGCAACAGTCAGATCAGTTTCTGAATAAAATATATATATATATATATATATATATATATATATATATATATATATATATATATATATATATATATATATATACACGTTACGATTATATATATATATATATATATATATATATATATATATATATACACGTTACGATTATATATATATATATATATATATATATATATATATATATATATATATATATATATATATATATATATATATATATATATATATATATATGTATATATATATATATATATATATATATCGTTACGATAAAGACAGGGATTTAACCACGAGGATTGCTAGCTTTTTTAAGTTAGCGAAAAGCTATCGATATTTGTAAAGATAAAGACAGAGATTAAGCTACGAGGACAGCTAGCTTAATAAGCTAAAGACTCACAGGCTATTGTAGCTACCGTCATATCGTAATAAAATTGCTATCAAAAAAATTTTGGTATCTTGCTATCAACCAACTATAGAATTGTAAATATTTAGTACCTAGCTACAAAGTTACGATATGTAGCTAGCGACACATTGCTACAAAATTGCAATGTTTAAAGTTCAGTTATTCTCATAACTATAATAGACTCAACACTAAAAATCGAATTTTTAAAGATGTTAGAGACATTAGTAAAGAATAAAATAAGAAAAAAAAATCGCTTGAAATCGCTATAAAGCTAGCTAGTTGCTAGCTTTATAGCGATTTATATATATATATATATATATATATATATATATATATATATATATATATATATATATATATATATATATATATATATATATATATACACATATATATATATATATATATATATATATATATATATATATATATATATATATATATATATATATATATATATATATATATATATATATATATATATATATATATATATATATATATATATATATATATATATATATATATATATATATATGCGCAATAGCATGTTTTACCTTGTTAAGTTTTGTTGTTGTTTTTCTGTCGTAAAAACATCTGCTACTATTACATAAATCACTTTGTCTCAGTTAGCACGAACTTACGAAAAACTTCTTTTAAACGTCTTATAGACGTTTTGGACGTTTTTTAAACGTCTTTCGAACGTTTTAAACGTCTTTTAAACATTCAAAAGACGTCTTTTTTAGGTTCTCTGCCCACTAAACATTATAATCTTACATTAATTTTTGTTTAAAAACAGTGTTATATTAATTACGAGCCATCTCGTCACTTTTGAGCTAAAATATTATTTTAAACTTTTGTAAAACAAAACTGTAGTTAAATAATGAAACATAAAACACCTATAACAAACTAAAAACATCTTTATAAACTAAAGCTATTCAAATCTTTTGAAAATAAAGTTTAATTGCCGTGCTTTTTTACTAATAAAAAGTTTTAAGAAACTTGTTATTAGTAAAAAAGCACGGTTTTGAAACATTACAGTTGTACAATTGTTTCATGTTCTTTAAAAAAACATAATAAGAGTCAAACAAGTGAAAACGAAATTTAAATATATATTTTTAATTTACATGTAATTAAAATAACTAAAAGGTTTTAGGTCACAATTCATCGGTTCAATAGTCATCTATTAGTGTTCTTTTCCATTTACAAAGAACCCATTTACCATTTCGAAGGTAACAATAAACGTGTTTCTCGCTTTTTTTAATCATTTTTAACCTCGCGTGAAATAAATTACTTTGATTAAAAAACATAGTCAAATAATTGTAATTTAAATGATGTCAATATCCTAAAAAAATTGTGTATTGCTTATGTTTTTCCCATGAGTCGATCATTCTGATATTTATATAATTTTGCTTAAAAGGACCATCAATGTATGCGATGGGTGCACTGCAGATGAAATGTTAAAATTAGGCCTCTTATCATGGTTATATAAAACCATGGAACAAAAAAAATATGTCCAATGACAAAAGAAACAAAAATTTTACCACTTTTCGATTAGCTAGAGCTCTGAAACTTTTACTATAGCTCAGAACCCGATGACAATGCAATATTATACTACTTTTACCATGATTTGCCGAGATTTGAACAATTTCAGCAAAATAAAATTTATTATGGGGAAACTTTTGGAGGCGTCGCCGCAATTTGACGCGTCGCTTTAAATAAAAAATTTTCGAACAAAAAAACCAAACTTAACTGTCGCTGTGATTTTAAATGGACCGCAGCGTAAAAACAAAATCAGTTGTTTACAAAATATAAATTCCACCCATCAAAAACTAAAAAGAAGAAAATAATATAACAAATAAAAAAACTTTTTATAAAACTACGTTTTTTAATGAACTAAAAATTAGAAAATAATTTTCTCTTGTGGATATAGAAATTTTTGAAAATTAATTGAGTCGATAGTAAGTGACATGAAAACTTTTGATTATGAACTCTTAATAATTACGATCCCAGCGGGCACGGGTACGTTTGTTGTACGTACAAAAGACGTCCGGACGGAACGTACAATTTTAGTTCAGATTTGGTTCAGATTGGAAATACTGATGTACGTCCAAATTTGAACGTAAAATGTACGTCCAAATTTGAATGTACGCCGTATTTTAATATTCGACTTAAATTTTCTATTCTCAAGTTTAAGTTTACGAACACAAAAGTGCACGTCATGCGCAAATTATAAACTTGAGAATTAAAAATTATAAGACTTGAGAACATACAAATCAGAATTAAAAAATTCGACTTAAAGAAGACAAATTTGACTTAAAAAAGACTATTTCAGTCTATTCGAAATCAAAATTTAAGCAAAAAACGCCACATTAGTCAAATATGCGTAAATTTTATATTCAGTTCTTAAATTCAACATCCTGAGGGAAACGCATCGCATTAAGTGAAAATTTAGAAAATTTTCCCTTCAAAATACTTAGACAGTTTAAAATATCAATATAATTAAAAATGAAAACAATTCATTAAGAATAATTGCAATTTATCATTAACATAAGTCTTGATCTTTGTCTGCTTTATAGCTGCGTCCACCGCCATCTTTTCTGTCTGGAGCACGTTTCAACACATTACCAATCGATTCGTGCACCTCATAAAGTGTGTATTTAGGCATGCTATCTACAATGACATAAAAATTCATAAGCTATAAACTATATACTTCAAGCTATAAACTATATGCTTCAAGCTATAAACTATATACTAACTATTAGCCAAGTTAATTTGTTCAAGCAACAACAAAATAACTTGGCTATACAAGTATGCTTTGCAGAAAAATAATCATTTTTAAATAAAAACGTAAATTCAAAATACATAGTTCATTTTTATCCTAAATCTCAAACTTTTAAAATCAATCTTGATTTTAATATTTATTAGTCACAGTAATCATCATTATTATCATCATCACAATCATCATTATTATTTATATATAAATACTCTTCAACTTTTACTTCAACTCAGTCCTTTGAAATTATTAAGCAGGAAATAACATACCCACAATGACTCTAATTATGTTTGTTTTCTTAAAGGCTTTTTTATTTTTCCCTTCCATGTTAAAGCACGCCATCAACTTGTTTGTCATAAGTCTAAAATACGAGCAAAAATGAACTTTTATTTTAACATTTTAATAATATGGGATGATTACTAAGTATATTTAAATAAACTGAGAAAATGTCAGTATAGCAGTATAATGTCTATGAACAATAAACTTTTTTTAAAAAAAAGAACTTACTTTAAAAGTATTGCTTTAACATTTGCATGGCACGAACTGCCGCCAACCATAGTTAATTGTCTTTTCTAAAATCAATATGATTTTATATAAATCTATAGAATACATTTTAACATTGTGTGTGTGTATATACATATATATATATATATATATATATATATATATATATATATATATATATATATATATATATATATATATATATATATATATATATATATATATATATATATATATATATATATATACATATATATATATATATATATATATATATATATATATATATATATATATATATATATATATATATATATATATATATATATATATATATATATATATATATATATATATATATATATATATATATGTAAATTATGTTAGTTTATTTTACAAATAGTGCTCGATGTTTTTTTAAAAAAACAGAGCAATAATAATTTATTAAAAAACACTTATCTAACTTTTTTCTTCAACTTTAAGTTTCACCATTGCTACATCATCAGGAAGCCTTCCTGATGATCCAGCAATGGTGAAACTTAAAGTTGAAGAAAAAAGTTAGATAAGTGTTTTTTACTAATTTATATATATATATGTATATATATATATATATATATATATATATATATATATATATATATATATATATATATATATATATATATATATATATATATATATATATATATATATATATATATATATATATACAGTGTCAGACAGTACTATAAGGCAAATAAGGCAGCCGCCTAGGGCCCCCAATGCACAAGTAAAAAATTAATTAACAAAAAAACCTTATATACATATATTCTAGGCGAAAAAAGTTTCTTATATCTGTAAAATAGTAATACCCATTGAAGCCCTTACCCTCTTTTTTATCTAGGGTGAGCAGCCCCTTGTTTGTTGACCCTTCTGGACAAGAAAGCACAAAAGGGAGAGAGTGGTTTTTATGCACTACACCTCTTGAAAGTATGGTTTTATTTGTAAATACTAGGTTGTGACTGTGATAATTAACCTGCTGAGTAAACAATTGATGTTAAAAAGGGTATTAATACATTTATTGTTAAAAAAATATATTAATATATTTACTTACTAAAAGACTAAACTTTTCAATGTCACAAAGTTCATTATCAAACCTCTCAAACTCCTCCAAATTATCAAACTTCTGCACATGGTATGCAGAATATTCAGGTTCATAATGTTTTCCAATCTTGCACTGCTCTTCAAGAATTTGTGTCAGCAAATGAATTACTTTATATTGGAATTCTAAAAAATTTAGATTTAGAACATTTTACAGAATATACATGATTATTATTGATCGATTAATAAGATAAATTAGACAATTAAATTAAAATAAATGGGCAAATAATACCCCCCAAAATATATATTCTTATTTTTGTTAAAACATGTTAGTAAAAACCAAAAACTATCAAAACTAAAAATAAATAATTTTACTAGCTTCTGTAAGAGGAAACATAGACATGGAAGTTTTAGTATTTTGAGCTACATTTACTTGTGGCAGCATAACTTGACTTGAAGAAGATGGTTGGTTTACTAAAATTGGAGACATGGGTAGGGACAACTTTTTTACTGGGATTTTAGATTTTAATGACGATGATAACAATTGGGATTGACAGGTTGACTTAACAGCAGGTGATAAAATAGTAGAATAAGTTTTGGAAGAATTAGGTATTATTGGTGACTGTGTTGAAGATTTTGAACCATATAACTTTGAAATTGGCTGTTTAAAACTCAACTTCAGTTCAGGAATAGCAAAAGTTCCAACTGCAGGATTTTGCAGAGAAGAAAAATTTGAAGACTCACTGTAGGGAGATCGCGACCTAGCTCTGGAAAACATAGGCATTTCAGGGCATGCAGCTAGGAAAAATTATCTTTAGTATATATATATATATATATATATATATATATATATATATATATATATATATATATATATATATATATATATATATATATATATATATAAAACATTTTAAAGATGCGACTTCATTTTACTTATTAACTAAAGTATTGCAGTGAATTAAAATAAAAAGTGTTTAGACTTAAAAATGTATTATAAGTAAGGAGTTGTCGTACAATAAAAATTCTAAATACAAAGCAATGATGCGAGTAAAGCAAATACATAGAATAGAAACAAAAAGCATACGTATTTTATGTATCTTTTGATTTTTAGTTCTTTTTTCATTTTCACAGGATAATTCGCCAAATTCATTCTTGTCAGAAGGCGCTTCAGATTCCTCACTTGTAAAATCAAATCCTTCACAAACTGCTTTATCATCTAAGTATTTTTTGAAATGAATGTGTAACAATAAATAAAGGTTGAAAAAAGATAGAAACTTAATGCTTTAATAAACTGTTGTTTTATAAAATTTTTTAAATTTATTCCAAATAAATAACTGTTCATAACAAGTGAGTGTAAAAAAATTGCAATACTTACTATGACGACACTTCTCCTTAAGAAGTGGAAAGCGAAACCAGCTGTTCTGTGGTATAGCCTGTTGGTTACATGCTTTTATAACATTCATACCAATAGGCCACCTCACAAACCTTTTTTCATCTACTGCTCCTTCAATCCACACTGAAGGTATCGTCAGCTCTTCTTCAACTGATCCCTCTAGCCATACAGCTCGGCACCAAGACATTATAACTATAGAATTTACTTTAAGTAAAATATAGTATTTATAAAATTTAAATTATACTTAAATGTAGTAGTAACTATAACAAAAACTAAAGTATTACTTTTTTTTTAAACTATTTTTTTTAATTAACTGCTATAGTTTAAAATACAGCAATTAACAGTAGCATTAAGTAATACTAGTAATTTTATCTGTGTATATAACTACTTTGAGCTTTAAAAAATGCTTCTCTAATAAAAGGAAAAAAAAAACACATTTAAATTTGATTCATATAAAAATTAATAAATCGCCTACTTAGTGATAACATACTAAATCCATTTTTGAGTTTTTTGACTTTCTACCTACTATTCTTTATTAACACAAAAAATAAAAATAGAGATTTTAAAAAAACCTTATTCACATTTTGACAAAAACGATGATAAGTTAAACTTAAACAATTAACTTCTTTGTTCTGAAGAATAACTTTTTGTCTCTGTCAAAGTTGTTTATTATAGAGTTGGTAGATTTTCACTCTATAGAAATGATATATATATATATATATATATATATATATATATATATATATATATATATATATATATATATATATATATATATATATATATATATATATATATATATATATATATATATATATATACACACACATAATTAAAAAAAAAAAACTTTGGATAAAAACAAAAAACAAATGTATATATGAAATATTATTCAAAAACAAGTTCATGGTTAAAATTTCTCATCATAATGCAGTAATGGAAATATTGATAGGCCTCTTTTTTCTTCTAAGCAAACACACTTTCTTTGAAAATCAGCAACACTTAGCGTTCTCTGGACAACTTTATTAAAATTTATAGTTCGAAATAATGATATACTAAATTGCATTGATGGAGCTGGGGAGTCAAATACATTGTCTAAATATTTGGTGCTAATAACTGTACATTGAAATGTACCATCACTATTCTTAGCCTTTACAAATGCAATAGAAGAGTTGTGCAGCAAAAAACACCTATCTTTTCTGTTAGCTGAGATTTAAGTTTTTAAAGCTTTTTTAGGTAATTGTCCAAAATATTTACACTCAGATTGCCGTTTGGATACTTGAGAGACTAGATTAGAAGAATTACGTATGCTCTTCTAAATTCTTTGAAGAAAGTTTTTAAAAGGAAAACAGGATATTCTGTTAAGAGAACAAAAATTAATGCGACAATCATCATCTAAGTGCAAAATATTATGGACATTATAAACTGTAAATGTGTGACCATATAGTTATTTGGCTTGATACACGAAATACTTTAACAAATCACTAGCATAATCTAAATATGGAACCCGCATATCGTCATCATCTTGTAATAATATGTTTATAGAAATACTTAGGGTTAAAAAATGTTCATACAACTTCTTTGAGACAATACCTCTTAATGCAACTGGGCCAGTATACAACAAAAATTGTCTGAACTCTGTTGCTTTCCACCTATCCAATTCCTATAAACTTCGAGGTTGTCTAGCAAACTCACTTGGCATACACCCACTAAAAGAAATTAAAATTTGAGATATCTCTGAAATTTGGGCAGCAGATATTTTTGCACCTGGTCCTTTTTTCAGGTAATTTAACATGCGACGCATTACACCTAAACACACAAGATGCATATAGTCTAATGCAAAAGAACTAATACAATCAATCCCAATTCCAATTAAAGGAGATCTATCTTGCTGATGGTTGTTAAAATAGCCAAACTGTTCAAAAATATCTTTTTCTCTTAATTGAAAGTCTTCTTCATCATTGAAAACAACTCGTCCTTCATATGATCCGTGAATGATACATCTTTCACATGAATTGTAACCTCCGTGATGAATTATGCATTTTAAAAAGGCTCTAGATGGTGCATCACAAATGAAAGATTTAATTTCTATACTGAAGTGTTTCCCATTATATATGATGCCATTCTGTCGTAACTGATTCCATTCATTGATAAAATCTAACAAATAATCATTAATGTTGTCCGGTTTACGATCACCACAAAAGATAGCAATGATAAATATGTCAGAGTCATTAAAAGATGCAAGTATTGGCCACATCTGCTTACTTGATGATTTAAAAAGTGGGATTCCGTCTATATTTATTGATAATTTGATAACATTACCAGCACAACTTTTATCGTCAAGAACACTTTTAATTCCTTTGTATATTCCATAATATGCATAATCCCCACCACATTTTATTTCTTTTGCTATTTTTCTCGGTGTTTTTAAGAGAGTTCGTGCATCTTTAGGAAGAGAAGAACCGTTTTCACGAAGAATAGATAAAAGTTCATTAACAGATGAACGAGTCCAACGATTTCTTGTTGCACATTGAGCAAGCCTTTTATTTAATAAAGGGATTTCGCCCTCATTATCAGAGTAATCATCACTACTGTACAGATCTGTAATTTCGACTTCAGATTCACTACTGGTATTTGGATAATATTCATCAGTTAAGTAATCATCAGTTAAAAAAATATCGTCTGTTAAATCATTCCTCTCCAACGATTCGCCGTCATCATTTATGGACCTTATTGGGCTTGAAGAACAATTACCAGCAGCATTTTCTATTAAAATTGTTTCATCATAACTAGATGAATTTAAAAAAGCGTTTACTTTTTTATTAATACCTTTCCATTTTTTCACATTTGATGCCATCTTTAAAATTTATAAACTTAACTTCAACGCTATTCAAAAGTTAATTGTTAACGCTATTCAAAAGATAATTGTCAAAAGTTAATTGTTAACCCCATGTTAACGAGAATGACAAATTTTATTATATGTACGACTAAGCTAATAAAAATATATTTAGTGAAGTTGCTATTTTGGTTAAACTTGTTAAAACTATTTTTGAAGGTTCAGTTTTGGTTCACGGACGGACGGACGTGATTTGGATGTAGATTGTACGTACAATGAACGTACCTGTGCCCGCTGGGATAATATTTGTAAAATTTTAAACGAAAAACGTGGTGCGCATTTAACGAAAAAAAAGAACAGAAGAAGGAAGCAATAGTTAAAGTAATTAAGGACGATGATGATCATTTAAAGTGACAAGATGCGCACCACGTTTTTTGTTTAAAATTTTACAAATATTATCGTAATTATTAAGAGGTCATAATCAAAAGTTTTCATGTCACTTACTATCGATTCAATTAATTTTCAAAAATTTCTATAGCCTCAAGAGAAAATTGTTTTCTACTTTTTAGTTCATTACAAAAACGTGGTTTTATAAAAAGTTTTTTTTTTTGTTATATTATTAATAGTTTATTTTATACCACACATAGTAATTAACTATTTAAATTTAGTAGACACGCACTGAGCAAGTTTTTTTTTCCACATTGCAGTAGCACGGTCAATATGTTGGTTTCATCAACATTATAAATGCCATAATACCATAACATATAAATAAATAACATAAATAAATATAAATAACATAACTTTTTTAAAAAAGTTTTTTATAATTGTCAAAAACTTGATTTATATTATGCAGATCAAAACTTGTTTAACAAGACAAGCTTGTATTTTTAGGCTTTCAAAGTGAACGTTCTCTTTAGTTTTAGATAACCCTTTACCTACTCTATACCTGCTTGTTTATTAAATACCGCTTTAGCTGGAAAATTTATGATTTTTTATAGCATAATTAAATGTTAATTATCTTTCTTGTTTGTTTTTGTCTTGCATATTTACATCACTTATAAAAGTTGTTTATTTTTTGACGTGGCAAATCAAAAACCTGGTTCCGCCCCTGGCTGTGTGAGCATATGTTATCTTTACACTTCACTTGTTCTTAAAACAGTAATGCTTCAAAAATGCACTTTTTCAAAGCTGCCATGTTTAAAGCTGCGTCTTCCTCTGAATTTAATTTCTATTAAAGTTAAATTTTCATTCTCAATTAATTTAACTTGATTATTTTTATTAATTGTTATTAAATGTTAACAAGTTTTCTTGTTACCAATTAATAAAAGGATAAGTAAAATTATTAGGCGTTTACTTTTCCTTAATTATAAAAAGACAAGTGATGACAAGTGACAAGTGATTTTTTTTATCAAAAAACGTATTTTACCTAAAAACTATTTTCTTAATTTTTAAATATTTTTATCGTGTGAAAAATTCTTTATTATAAGATTGATACTAAAAAAAAAAATTAAAAATATTTTTCCTCAAAAATCAATATTGAACTTTAAGCTAAACTGTTTATTTATTCCCTAGTTTACTTTGCTAATTGTAAAAAAATAATGACAAGTAATGGCTATTAAAAATATTTAAATTTTATTTTGAATAGTATAATAGTAAAATTGAATAGTATAATATGTTTCTAAATATAAAAAACTTATTTATTGTATTAATTTTTTGTTTTAGATGTGCCAATAAACAAATTTCTTTTATCGCATTTTGATATGATAGCTAGAAGTGTAGCTTGGGAAAATAATCTTAAAAAATCTATTGAAGAAGGAGTCAGCTTAATAGCTGTTGAAGAAAAAACGAATAATATAGTTGGATTTAAAATCAACTCTATTGTAGATTTAAAAAGGTTAACTTTTTAAAATTTATTTGTTTTTATCTTTAAAAAGATTTGATTTTTTTAAAATATTATTATCGTGTAAATATATACTATCCGTATGTTAATAACAAGATATATAGGTAGCAGGGGCAAGAAGAAGACTAATATGTCTTATCATCAAGCCCCTTGATAAATTAGGTAAATAAAAAACTTAATTTGAAAATAAGCAATTCCGTTAACTATATAAAATAAACAAATGTAAAATTAGTAATGTAATAAATTAAACATCTATTCTTAAAAATAACAAGAAGCGCTATACTTAATCATACTCCTCTAAAAGCACGGAAATATCTAATTTTTTTTTTTTTATTGAAAATTCATGATATAAGTTTTTTTTTCTTATATATATATTAAACTTCAGAGCACAATACAAAAAGTCTAAGAATAAAAAAAAAAAAAAAAAAAAAAGGAATAACAACACCTATTAAATATGGATTGAAACGGATTTGAAAAGTTACCAAGTGCATTTACCCAGCAAACATGACAGCGTTGAATCAACGTTGAAAACCGGTCGCACGAGATGTTGCGGAAACGTTGACAAAGTAATCGATTTTGCAAAGATATGAACGTTGTTAAAGAGACGTTGATTAAACGTTGTAGCATAACGTTGAAAAAACGTTACTAAAAGTCGTTACAAAAATGTCGCAACTAAACGTTGGAAAAGCGTTAGGTAAAAAGCTTTGCACAAGCGTCGCAACTTAACGTTGAAAAAAAGTTACTTAAAAAGCGTTACTTTAACGTTGTTAAAGCAGTCGATTTTGCAAGGATTTGTAACGTTGGTAGTAAAACGCCTATTTACTCATGGGAAGGAATAATAAAGATTATTAGAGCTGTGATGTCTTTTTTTCACTTTCGCTTATAATTAAGTTACATTAATGTTTTAATTTTTTTCTTCTGGTTCCCCTTACGGAAAATTCCCATGAAAAAACCCATGAAAAAAACCCATAGAAAAACCATGGTTATTTGGAACACGTTTTCATGGGAAACCCATAAGTTTTCCATGGGAAATCCATGAGTTTCCTATGGGATCTTCATGAGTTTTCAATGAAAACCTATGAGTTTTCCATAGAAAATCCATGAGCTTCCTATGGGAAACCCATGAGTTTTCAATGAAAACCCATGAGTTTTCCATGGAAAACCCGTGAGTTTCTCATGAAAAATTCTATGAGTTTTTCATGGAAAAGTGTTCCAAATACCATGGATATTCAATGAGATTTCCATCCATGGAAAAAACCATGGAATTTCCATAGGTAATAGGAACACCTTTTCAAGGAAAACTCATGGATTTTTCATGGTAAAAAAGCATGATTTGTTTTCAAGTTTTTTTGATCTAATGTTATTTGAATTGTCATATTAAATCATAAAGCAAATTTTATCACACTAATATAATTGCGTATCTCTTAATCTATGGGATCGCTTTCTCCGAAAAAATCAATTAACAAAATAAAATTTAAATCTTGTTAAATCCTACAAATCTTTGAAAAATAATAGCTATAATGCACCAAAAACATCAAAACTTGACTTCCCTACAATATTTAATGCATGCATATGTATAACATACTGAAAATAAATAAAACAAAAAATTACAAGTAATATAATACTATAAGTGATATACATAGTGATAAACAATTGAAATATATCAAGAAAATTTTTTTTACAGAAAATAAAACAATTTACATTTTTATTATTTTATATTAACTATTTGATAAAAGTAGTATATATAAATTTGATAATAACTTAAAGTTTTAACAAGTTAAAAAGAACCATCAATACAACATATTCAATCCAAAAAAAACATCAAGCCCATTTATAAGTGCAACTGCATTGTGTCTGTAGAAACAGGTGTCAAACAAAGTACCATTCACATTTTGATATTCATTATTTTTTCACCATAGTTAGTCTCATTCTCCATTTCACCAATCTAGACAATACATCATACAATTATTATATACATTCTAACTAGTTTTCTTTATTTACTGATTCATTTTACTAATAGCTATTATCTATTATAACTTACTTTATAATTAGGCCTTATACACAATTATGAATGTTGCCAAATGTTAGGTAACATTTATATAGAAAAAAGTAGCAATGAATATATCATTATTTATAAATAACAATTATTAGATTATTACCTCTTTTTCGCCTAAGCTATCTGCAGTATGTACAACATCGTTTATATTTCAAGTCAAACATTCCTGCCTATAATGTAACTTAATTAAAATGATTTATTCAAACTAATACATATATAAATGTTACCTGCATGTTAGAGACGTTTATATAGAACATGGCAGCAACAAATATTATATTATATATTTATTTTTGTAATTGAAAAAAAAAAAACTTACTTCTTCTTCTGAGCTATCTGCATGGTGTACAACATCATTTACAAACCTGTTTTCTTCACGCCCTTACCACCTTTAAATATATTATAAAGCACCGGACTTGTTAATGAACGACTAAATAAATAAATTAAAAATTTTATATTGCAAGTCAAACCTGCCTGCTAATAATGTAGTAGCTTAAATAAAATGATAAACTTAAAATGAAAAGATTTATACACATATAAAAATTTTACCTGCATGTTAGTAACATTTATATAGAACAAGACAGCAACAAATATAGTTTAACTTATAAATTGTAATTTTAAGTAAAAACTTACTTCTTTGTCTGAGCTGTCTGTATGATATACAACGTTATTTATATTGTCAGTCAAACTTACCTGCTTATAATGCAGTAATTTAAATAAAATGATAAAGTTAAAATAAAAGAACTTATGCACACACCATTAAATTCAAAAATTTATTATATTTTTACTTTACTATTTAAAACATAACAAATTTATTAAATATGTAATTTTTAAAGTATAGTAATGTAAAAGCATAATAAATATCAAAGTGTGTGCATAAATTAATTTATTTTAACTAAAGACAAGCACTTTACATTAGTTAAATATAAACAAATAAAAATAATTGTATTTTAATAAATAATAGTGTATTATTTATAAACATTGCTTTTATATGCTTATATTTAACTACGAAGTAAAATCTTGTGCATTAATTAAGTTCCTTTTCTGATACTTTTAAAACATTACCAAAGTTTTTGTTCTCCAACTAAGTGGTTCTTGAAACATTCTTACAAGTTGAATCCCAGAGATTACGTTTATATCTTTTCTGGTTAATTTGAACTCAATTCACTATTTTATTTTGACAGCTTTTGAACTATTTAAAAAAATATTAAATGCATATAAAAACTGACGATGTTTTAAACAATATAAACGATGAACAACATTATTTATATTGTCAGTCAAACCTGTCAGCTTATAATGTAGTTATTTGAATAAAATAATAAAGTAAATATAAAAGAATTTATAAAAAATATTTATATTACATTATTTACATATTCTAGTAATTCTAAAGAAAAAAACAACAACAAAAAGACAAAAACAACTTAACAGAACTAAAACTGAATAAAACATTTATCATAAAAAAACGTTTTGTAATACTTAATGAACATTTACGATACAATTAACTTCAAGCATTTTTATGTAATCTGAGGATTTTATTAAAAAAAAATAAAAAAAATTATACTAGTTATCCTTTGTACATTAGTTATCTAATCTTAATATCTTATCTTATCTTAGTTATCTAATCTTATCTGATATACTGCATATATATTAATATTTTAGATAAGTTTGTTTAATATGTTATATAAGTTTTATAATAATAATTATATAAGTTTTAATGTACATTAGATTACACTATGTACATTAATACACTAGTTATTTAATGTAGATTAAAACTAAACGTTTATTTGTTGTAAACCAAATAATAATTATTTGGCAAATAATTTGCCAAGTAAGCATTACAAAACTAAAACTGGTTTACTTGACATACTTGCTATACTATTGCAAGTAATACAAAGCTACTGGAAACAGTTAAAATAAGTATATCCATAAATGATATAAAATTAAATCGTAACAACCATGGCGCAGCATAAGCTATGAAAAAAAAAAACCATGGAAATTCCATAGGATTTCAATTTTCATGAAATTCACCCATGGAAACTCCAGTTTTTTATGGGAAAACCATGGTTTACTAATGGAATTCCATGGGTTTTCCATGGAATATTTCCGTAAGGGTCTTCCTTTGTTTATTTTATTATTCTTTAAATATTTCATTTTTTTAGCTTAATTTTGTATTATATGCTTTTTTAAGAATTTTATTCTCTTTTCAGTTTATGGATTATTTATTTTAATTTTAGTTTGCTTTTTTTTTTTTTTTTTTAACTCATTTTTTAAATGCGCTAATTATTAAAACTTACACAGAGCCGTGGTCAAGTTGTTAAAACAAAGAACTATATGCGTGGTCATATAAGTTGTGCGATCGCATGCCTCTTACGAGAAGACCTGTTTAACTGTAAATTTTAATATTTTTCCGAAGCTCTCAATCTAAATATTAGCGGTTTTTGAGAAGTGGTCATTAAAGCAGGACAGGGTGTAAACTACCATCTCCTTTAAATTCTGGTTCCACTGTTTATGCAACTAATATTACGTGTAATCCAAGCTTTCCTCAAACTTTGTCTTTACATAAAAATGATGTTCTGCAACCTGCTGTTTTTATAAATACATTGCAAAATCCTGATGTCAGTTTAACAAACTTTGGAAACATTAATGAAAACTTAATACAACGTTTAAATTCTAATGATATGCCAGACAATACGAGACTGAAATTCATTCACCCTCTACCTTCTGCAGATTTTTCGAAACCCAAAATATACTCTTATAGACATAATTTTTCTATTGACGACGATGAAGAATTCGATTGGTCGTTACTTGAATAAATCCTAATTTCTGTCATATCCATGTTTTTTAAAACTTTTTAAAAGAAAACTTTTAAAACTTTTTAAAAGAAAAAAAGATTATTTGGTACTTTTTTTTTTTTTTAATTTTGTATTTTTTCTATAACTTT